GGCCAAATGCGACGCCAGCAAACACCATGCTATGCATACTACAGAAAACACGCCCACACCCACGGTAGGTGAACTGATCGTTCCCAAAATAGAAGTGCTCGACTGAGCGTAACAAGTTTCAAGTTTTCAATCAACCGCATAGTCTAAGCGACAGCCAGCCTTCCTTGACATATGATGACAGTCAAAGTGCACCCCTCGGTCGCCAAAGCTACCTACGTACAAATATAGTCTAACGACTCAGCCAAACGATCTTGCCGCGTGAGGAAGGATCTCAGAAGAACCGTTCGTACTCCTCCACTGGGCGGCAAGAAGGGAGTGGGCGCACGTCGAGATGCGATGATGGCTAGTGAGGTGGTGGTGGGAAGATGAAATAGAATGATCTGGATGGTTTAGGATGACGATTTGGACTGTGTCTGGGTTCGTTCCCAAGGTCTGCAAAGTTCGGAATCTCGATGGTCCCCACCCGGAAATATGCGCGGAAAGACAATTTCCCCCCCCATCGTTCTCCACTGTAAGTTCCCCGCACACAGAGGAGTGATGATGTAACGAACCGGCACTGGCACCATGCACACCAGCTGATGCACACACACATACGTGCGCAGTCTACAGTAGCTGTGCTGTATTTAGGTGGTCCAGGTTCCGAGGTGTGGGCGCACACTTGGAGATATGATGGCGGTTGGAGGTAGAGATACGAAGCAGGGAATCTTGACAGGGATAGACTATCGAGGGCATGCACGAGAGACGGACAGACGAAGTCATCTGTCCCACGCACGCACATACGTACTACACCGGTCGCCCCGATGGTCTAGTGGGTAGCCTCGCAGCCTGCTAAGGGCCAGGTCATGGGTTCGAGTCCCGACAGAGTGAGTTTTTTCTCGCTAATTTAAATCCTGGTCTCCGTTGGAAGCGACGCGCTGCAAAGCTCGTTGTATGTAAACTTGATCGACTTCGTAAGTCGCGAGGGAAGGGATTGCTGTACCCTTTTCGCGATAAAAACATCTCAGGCAGGAACCGCAGGAGGGGGTCCAATCCCCCCCTCCCATGTGACCCCGGTTGGGTCGTCTAGCTGGTAGAAGTAGAGGATAGGGGCCAGAGGGGCAGACGATAGAGTCCAATGATGGTGAAAACAAAAACAAATGGACTCAACAACAATGTTCTACACGCGGACATACGTGCAAATCGCAACACAGCAGTGGGGGACCCTCAGCGTAATTCCTGTGCCATCACCGTTCAGAGAAACCGGCACTATTCAAAGTGTGTACTGAGTAACTTTGGTGAAGGCTGTACCCGCCCGATACACCGGGTGTCGGCACTCAACGACCTTCTTGCGGGCTCCTGTCTGTGTTCTCCCCGAGGTCGCATGGTGTAGAGAAAGATTGTGCCGCTGCCCAGAACTGAAACATAACGGGGGATGGATTCAACAAAAAAAAGGAAGAATGCAGTCCCCAGGGGGAAGGAAGGCAACCAAAAGACGAAGATGTTCAATTTAAGATGTTTATGGTGGAGGTTTGACGGGTACTTCGAGCTCCTTACATCATGTTCTCGAAGAAGGTGGGCATGATGCGGCACTGAACGATGAAGCGATTTTTTATGGTATTTTTCCGAAGTGTCATTTTTATTATTATTTTCCACGAAGTCTGGAAGGTAACTCTCTGGCCAATCACGAGGGGACGACACCGGTCGCTTCCCTCTCTCCTCCAGAGTCCAAGTTCCCCTTCCATGTCAACTGGCAGGCCCTAACAAAATGCCGTCTCAGTACACCGAGACCCCCAATGGTACTCCATACCATTGACATCCACCAGCATCGACGTTTAGTGGGATGGCATTCTGTCCCCTTGCCCGTACCTTCGTGTATGCTAACCCTTCTTCTGCTCCGTCTGCTTCCCCTGCGCTAGTTTACGGGATACCATGTCTACGTCCACCATATTATTCCTAGTAGATATTTTAAACGTACCCGAACCTTCCTTCCATCTACCCTCTCTCTGTATAATTCTGTCCGGTACGTCTCCTCCTGCTGCCAACGTGGTGGCGGCCCCAATTCTCGACGAATGCAAGCCAACCTGTCTCGGGTCGCCACCTGCCTTCTCCCCAATCTGGCGAAAGGGCGCTAAGAGCTTTGGAGTATCCCCAAACCTTAACCGTATTGCTCCTCCTACAGCAAAACGAGCACAGAGGGGCGTCCTCAGGTAAAGCGAGATGGCACGCCATCAATTCCACCAACACCGCCACGGCACCGCCACCGGCTCCAATCTGAGAGCTCGCGCCTCGTGCTACATCGCGCACCCGTGTAACGCACGCCCCCGTCTCCGACTGATCCCCCTTGTGACCGCGAAACCGAACCCGAACTCCTGTGGCCTCGTGCCAGTGCAACGGGGCGAGCACGTGCTTCCCATCGAAGCATTCGACGTTGCTACGCCGCAAACAATGCACCTGGTGGCATTGTCCCGATAGCGTAGCAAAAACCTCATCTGAACGCGCCACCAGGAAGTACGACAATGCCAAACACAGCCACAATACGCTGCCACCTGTACCCCACGACGCCGTCAACTGCTGTCCTTCCCGTCTCCCACGAGACGGGAATACGACTCCGACTCTTCGTACCCGCTCGAACGTGAACACGTGGGACACCCAACAAACTCCGTTTGATAAGAGGCGCACCGGTAGGCAACTCAAGCTGCTTGTCGACTCGATGAAAGTACTGTACCGCGGCGAGCATGCCGGATATGGTCGGTGCAATGTTACCCTTATCTGCACAACACCACGCCACAACTCCAAGAGTGCTTGTTCCAGCCCAGCACCATCCACATCCCCCGAGAGGTATCCGACTCGCCACTCATGCGGCGAAAGCACACCAAGCCCGCCAACCCGACAGGTACTTTCTTCGAGACGACTGCGCAACTGACTCGCGGACGTACTCGCCGCTAAGACGCCGGTACAAAGATGGGCGACCTCCGGGCTCGAGACCTCGGGTCAACGCAGTAGCCGCCCCTGGTCGCAGGAGGTGCGTGCTCGGGCCCGAGACCACGCCCCCCGCGACAACGAAAGACGGCCCTCCCCCCCCC